AAAAAAAATTGCGGACAGAGAGTTATGTCTGTCCGCAATTTTTCAGTCACTCAAATGAAAAAAGGTTGATTAGTTTCTTTGTGAAGAGAATTCTATTCGAGTTTGTTAATGGTATTGGCTGCGTTTGGTGTTGCTGCGCTCTGCTGTCTCCTAGCAGTCGTTATAATTGTCGCAACAATAATTCAAAAAAAGAAAAAGAAGAAGAGGGAGGGTAAGTATTTAGTATTGCTCATTAATATACAGGAAAGAAAAATTGGTCTTTAGAAGCAGAAAAATCGAAGAAAGTGTTGTTGGTAAGTAGCTTCGAAGTGATTGCAGGATACGCTCACAAAACAAAAAGACATTTAGAAAGAAGCAGGTTTTCTGTAAGCTACTTTATCCATAATTTAGGCGAAAAAGCCGCGTAAAATGGAGTCAGCAAATATCAATGCGACAAAGTTCACTCATGGTGGAGCGCTTGTCCTTGATGCGAAATTACGCGGTCCAGTGGTGAGAAGCTCTAGAGATGTTGCCCAGCTTTTCCTATTCTATCGAGCAGTCGGAAAAGTTTGAGCTATTTTATTTCCCAAAAAAATCTGAAAATCAGAGCTTTGGTAACAATTGGCATAGATTCGAGAAGCTCGAGCCACTTCGTTGAATGGTCGATAATTTGATATCCTGAATTTATCATATGCATTCTCTACAATAAAACATTGATGTAGGAGAAAGACACAAGGTCAGAATTACTAAATGTAAATTTGCTTTACTGGGGTTGATTGATTTGCTAATTACAAAAATTTAACTATATCGCACAATATGCCTTTACTGTAGGGAAGTTTACGTAAGAGGATGTTAATCAGCGATTCTAGAGCGGGAAACTTGAATCTATCTGCGTCTGAGGTTGTTTTTTCCTAGGAGGAAGGTAATTTTTCTATCAACATGGCAATAACATCAATAAATTATTGTAATCCGTGATTTTTCTCAATATAGTGCGTTCCTACAGTAATAACAGGGTATTTTATCGTGGGGAATGTATATGCTTAATAATCAGCGTATGCAATTACCCCACTAATTGGTACCGTAGCAATTTTCCAAATTTGTTTACCTCAAAAAAATTGAACTATCGGCTGAGCTTTTGATTCTCCAAGTTTGATATCAAAACCTTTTACAAATCTATTCGGTAACCCAATACGAATAATTTTGATTACAACCTCTAGAATAGTTTTCGACCTGATGCTTTATTGTCAAAAGCCTCCTCTCACCCTAAATTCAAAATAGGACAAGTGTGAATATCGTGCAGACGTCACTGGGTGCCACCTGTTGAATATGGCTTTTGTGGGCAGGTTTATGCTCACGCAGATTGCAGTAGATCATTAATGTTCGACAAGGTTCGTTTCTACTGTTTATTGCTGAGCTCCTGGGTGGAACCTATTGCTTCGAGAACCTCCTTGTGCAATCTCAATTTGACGTTACAATTAATTTCAAAAGCGCTTTAGCTTTCTGTCTTCTGACAATGCTGTTCAGACTCCTCTTCTGTTAACTAGGTTTTGAAGTTCCTTTTCTCCTGGGAATAAACCATGACAGCGACACCCCTGGTGTTTTATGCAGTACCGTCGCTGTCGGCCCAAAATTTGCTATAGAAGACGCAATGCGTCGGAAATGCCGTACTATAACTCAGTTTTAATCTTCAATTGGAAGTCAATTTAGATTCTCAAAATCAGCGACAAATATCTAAAGCCTCTAAGTTTTGTGATCCGCAGTTAATATCTCAGGAGCCCGAGCGAGTCTCTCCTGGTTATATCCTTGGGTACGGTTGACTTCTACCAACGCCTTTTTAATATTCAAAATAACTTCTAAAGCAAAATTTTTACGAGACTATTCCGACAAATGTGTTAGCTTCCATGGACTTCTCTTTGAGAGATGAGTATAAAATCTTGAAATAAAAATTTTT